ATATAGTGTAGTTGTCAGCATATTCAGCAAGCTAATCTTTAGCCTATCATAAGTTTGAATTGCAGTTTATCGTAATTCCTTTGCCAAATAGCAGAGTTGTGCTGATTCTGCTTCAAAACTATTTTTGTTTAGCTTTTGTAATTAAAGCTCTCCCTAAATTGTTGAACGAATGATTGAACTGAATTAAGTGTTCGTATAAAATGGGCAATACACTAGTTGTAAAACAAAGACAGAGAGATCTAAATGAGGAGTTGAAAAAGAAAAACGTTGCAGTTTTCTGCACAAAGAAATCAACCTTTAATTAATAAGAAATATACAGTTTCTATAAGAAAAAAATAACTTAAAACTTAGATAAAACGTCTTTTAACCGCTGTGAAATAAGTGACAATTGTTTGTGTGCACAGAGAGTAAATAGGCAGAATGTGAATGTTTGGTTATTTAATGTAACATTAGTCAAACAAAAAAAAAAAAACTTTAAGTGTGCGCATAATATTTTTAGGACATCACAATCGCAAATCTATGGATTTCAATCTTTTTTTCAGTAAATCTCTATTGTTAAATAGAATATATACAACATTGATTTGACACAAAACCATGCTATAGTTTCAAATTAAGAATTGGGATTTCCAAAGCTTTGCAAAGAGTGGGAATTCTATTTGAATTAGATAAAGGCTGAATACACATAGATGACTGATTGTTTGTCTTTCCTGTTGTTCAACGTTAATTAAAAGTGAACATCATGCCATGCAAGGACAACACTTACTTCTTGTGAAGTTTTGGCTATTTATACAACACTTACTGGCATTTATAAGTGGCCATTTTGAGATCTCTCGTAGATGTACATTTTTCTTCATTTTTTATATTTAATCAACTGTCGTATTCCAGTACCCGACAAGAAAAGTCCATCATTTTCAAATTAAGAGTATTTTTCTTGTCTTTCTTCTCCGTAAGTACGCGTTTTCTCGTGAACACACATATGTCACAGACAAATTTGGGCATCTCGTTTTGCATTTCTGAAAAAAGTAGAAGAGACTGCATTATTTATAAAAACGAAAGACGTTTTGAGAACCTTCTTACACTTCTCTTGCTGCACGTTACTTGAGACACTTCGCGACAGTTTGAAAATTATGTAAATGCTTTCTTTGATTTGGTCATTTCCAGAAATCTTAGTCTTGAAGAAAATATCATTTCATTGATCTCAGGAGCTTTAACCTCGAACGAGGATATTCCACGGTATGACTCATTTATTCGTGCGTCAATGCAGATCAGGGGTATTACTTTGTTATAAACTGGATTCCCTTTGCCTTAGAACTCATTTCGATTAAATGTGGTAATAAAACGAAAGCGATCACAACGGCAAATCAACTCGAAGGAAGCATAACCATGGGCTAATGAGACCTCTTAGTAAAAAATCTTAATCTTCCAGAAGCATTGGGAAAAGCTACGCGTCGTTTGGGTTATACATAACATTTGGTTGGTTGACATTCTCGTTCCCAGAGTCTTTAGGGAGCGGGAGGATGAGAGGCCCTGGGGACGAGGTTGGGTGGTTGAAAGGGTCGAAAGAATGTTCTAAATCAATCGTTAAGTGTTGTGAAGTAAAATTAATGCTTCCCCTTATAGCTTATAATTATAAATATTTTTTGTTTTTCATAGCTAGTGTATTTTCTCTGTGAAACATATAAAGGAGGCAAGTTCGCTATTTAATAGCGAGTAGGATTAGGGTAGTTTAAGTTCTGATCAAATTTTGGGGAGGAAGCGTTCATGAAGTGTAAAGTTTAACGCTCCTAATGCATGTATGAAAGGGTATTTTTAAGCTTGTTTAGATATATACTGATAGTCTCAGGATTCTTGGTGTCATTTCAGATGAAAGAATAACATTTAAGCCCTATATACAAGTACAACTTAAGAAGGCATGTGCTAAGGCAGCTGCCATGCGTAAGCTGCGTAAGTTTATACCACAAGATGTTATGATTCGCCTTCACAAAGCATATGTACTACCCCACTTAGAGTATTGTAGCCCACTCCTGCTAGGAATAAGTAATGCGCTCAAAAATAAGTTAGAGGACACTAATTACTACATCCTAAGGACTATCGTAGGGTATTCAAGCTCAGTGCTTTATGATTTTCTCTTTAATTTAGCTAAATTACAAAACTTAGAGACACGAAGGAAAATCCAGTCATTAGTTATTTTATATAAATGTTTAAGAGGACAGGGACCGGAATATCTTAGTAAGTTTTTTAACGTTTTAAATGTGAATTATACCCTAAGGGGTCTGGCACACGCCTTATGCTGCCATCGTTCAACTTAGA